TGCTCCTGGCACTGTCAAAGTTATAGCAAAGAGCAACAAAACAACCATGTCCAAGATGGTAGTTGCCTTCTGGCCATGACACTGAAATTTGAAACTTAGAATTAAGAATCCAGAAACCTCAGAGAAACAGTTATTTCTAGGGATGGGTTAAGGGCCCCGGATTCACAAGTGGAAAGAAAAGACAGAATGCATCTGAGGGGTCTTAGTGTTAAAGGTGCTAAAAACAGAAGCTGCAGAGATGGTCTTCTTTTAGTTCTATAAACATTCAGGCACAGTTTGGAATTTGAATCAATAAAGAATCATCAATACAAACCATAGACCCAGAAAACTGTCATCACTCCTACAATAAAAAACAATCGACAGGAACACTACATTCAGCTGGGCGTGGTGGCTCACGCCTGTAATCCCAGCACTTTGGGAGGCCGAGGCGGGTGGATCACCTGAGGTCAGGAGTTCAAGACCAGCCTGGCCAACATAGTGAAGCCCCATCTTTAAAAAAATAAAAATAATAAATAAATAAATAAGAAAAAAAAAAAAAGGAACACTACATTCTAGTTATTGATGGTTTTCTTCTTCTACCGCTCCTCATGCTAAAAGATCCATCAGAATACAGCCCCTATCTCCTGACAGCTTTCACTGCTCTTTCATTAAGCCTTAGATGGAAATGAGCTTCCAGTATAGCAGACTGTGGACATCATCAGGGACAAGCTGTCCCTTCAGGAGCAAAGGTGGTAAGGCCTGCCTGAAGGCAGGGTCTGTGCCCCTGAGCTGGTGAAGAACCTTTGGTCCCTTTTCTGTCCTTTGCCTTACAAAGATCTATACTGACAATGTCAAGGGTCACAGCCTTGTGGCCTCTGGCCAGGAGGAGCTGAGGTAACAACCTCACAAACACTACTAAGGGAATAATGCCATGTTGCAGAGAGGCGGACAAATATGGGGTCTTTACAGCTCTGATGTGTGTCTTGTGTAGAAATACAAATCACCCAGGGGCAAATCACTAATGTCAGCAGCTTTCCAAGGCAGCATTCTCTACTGAGTACGAAAGGATTCCTGCTGCCTGAGAAACTATAATGTAGACAGTAAAATGTAAATGTATGCAAGAAGCTTGCCAGCTCACATAAATAGTCCACTAATATCACCATCAAGAAGGTGCCCTGTGGCAGATGGCTACATGATGGGGGAAGGGAGTGCCTACTAAGGCGCACACGTGCACGTGTCTGTGTGTGTGTGTGTGTGAGAGAGAGAGCGCGTGAGAGAGCATGTGTACGTGTACACACGCTGGGTGGGGTCTGGACTGGAAACTCTCTGGCTGCCACTGTCATCCTCCATTATAAAGGGGCCCCCTGAACTGAGCCCGTTGTCCTCCCCCGCAGCCACTGCCCCTAATTCGAACCGAGGCCCTCTGTGGCTATTGCAATCTACTGGATTTTGGCTGTTTGGCTGCCTGCTTTTCTTGTCAACTCCGACCTGCTCTTTATTGGGTAATGTTTTAGTTCTTTCTTCATTACTTTTTAGTTCCATGGTTATGTTTTCAATGGGAAAAACAATGCAAGAGGGATTTAAAAATAGTATTTATTGACTTTTCTGACTACAAAAATAAGGCTGAAAATTTAAAAAATATGAAAATCCTAAAAGAAGAACCCCAAGTGACAATCTTACTCAAAGATATTCTCATGTTTTTCCTTTTTGTCTTTTCTTCTCCATTCAGACAAATACTTTTATTTATTTACTTTACGCTTTGGGACAGGGTCTCACTCTAACACCCAGGCTGGAGTGCAGCTGCCTAATCACAACTCATTGCAGGCTTGACCTCCCTGGGCTCAGGTCCTCACACCTTAGGCTATTGAGTAGCTGGGACCACAGGTGTGCACCACCAAGTCTGGCTAGTTTTTCTATCTTTTGTAAAGACAGGGTTTCATCATGTTGCCCAGGCTAGTAAATGCTATTATTTTAAAAATAGTAGAGGTCATATAATATACTGCTTAGTCACCTTTTTTTTTTTTTTTTTTTTTAGTGATATACTAGGGAATATTTTTCATTTTACCGGATATTAACTAATACCATTACTGCTAATGTCTGCATATATTTGATCCTATGAATTTGGCATATTTTATTCAAACAATCTCCTACAGATTACCATCCAACTGGTTGTAGTTTGATTCAGAGTCTTTGGTGAGAAGATCCATGAACAAGAGCCAAGGTCTAATATGTACGTGGTCACTGGATGATGCCTATTCTTTGTCACAGCCCCCAGCACAGATGGAAGAAGTATACACATTATAAGAGTAAGCTCTTCACTGCAACTGCTCAGGACTCATTTTTGAAAAAGAGGCAGCTCTCTAACAAGATTTTGTAGGCAGGCAAAACAGAGGGCCTATAATTAGGTTATTAGAAAAAAGATGGCTCTGTACTGATTTACTCCTCTCCAGGAAGGAATCTGGTAGGACCCACAACTTGGGCAAACTTTCTTGAGTCAATTCTCTTCACATGACAACTGCAAAGAAGCTGGCAGGGCCAGGGCTTTCCCAACCATGGTGCGGGGCAGAGGCCACGGCACATGCTCACATCTCTCTTCTTCTCAATCAATAGGACTGAAAACATTCTTGTATACCAGGGCTGGATTTGAACACGGTACTATATTATGCTTCCATTTTATTTCTTGATCCAGTTAATCCTAAGCTTTTTATAAAATAGTTGTATCAGTCCCATCAAACAACTGAGAAAGTACTAGGATTAATTCAGTAGATTTCTATAGATTCAATATAACTGGAGAAATATATTGGTATATATAAAAATATCTCTGTTGGAATTTTCCAATTAAATTATGAAGGATACTCCATAGGCAAGAAACAATTACTCTTCTGTGCCTGAGGCCTTGGGAGCTAAGGGGTCATGTGCAGGAGGAAGCTCAGAGATACCAGAATCCCAAGATAAAAAGGCATAAATCTTCACAGTTTGTGGAAAGAAAAAATCTTGGCTCCCTGTCACTACAGCACCTAAAGTTCAAGAGTTAAGGGCCCTGTGAGAAAGTTGAGAAATTGCTGGATGCAGGCTATGAGTGGGTCATAAAACTAATTTAGTGGGTTAAAATAATCAAATGAAATAGAAATGTTAGAGGCTATCACATGAAGGGTAATTACTGTTTCATGAACCATATGTATGGGTGTCCATGTATATGTATATAGATTTGAGTGTGTTCACATGTTTGCATGCAAGCATATGCCAAACGACAATACAAAGTATCTTACTGTGGGTCATGGTCAAAAGTTTGAAACCTGTTACTCCACGAAAAGCTAGCTATAAAAAAAAGTAGGACTATTAAAATTATACATTGATCAATCAATTCTTTATTCTATAAATAGGTATTAGAAGGTGTCACCCAAACTTTAAATGTTCCTTTAGAGATTCTTTTCCTCATGTGAGAAATGGGAAGGCTGACAGAAAATTCCCATCTTAAATGGCTTAAAATGGAATGTCTTGGGTGAAACATATCCTCAGACCTTGTATCTCCATACTGTGACACAACTTTTAAAGTGCTTACATAAAGGCCACCCTGCCTCAGAAACAGGAAAATTAGCATTATTATTTTGGTGGGGGGGTGGGGGGACAGGGTCACACTATCTCCAGGCTGGAGTGCAGTGGTACTATCTCGGCTCACTGCAACCTCTGCCTCTTGGGTTCAAGTGATTCTCCCACCTCAGCCTCCCGAGCAGCTGGGACTACAGGCGTGGGCCACCATGCCTGGCTGATTTTTGTACTTTTTGGTAGAGATGGGGTTTCACAATGTTGGCCAGGCTAAATTAGCATTATTTGATATATACACATGTGATAAACAACTAAACATGGGACTGGGGCTATAAAAAATAACAGCCTAGGCCAGGTGTGGTGGCTTACATATGTCACACCTGTAATCCCAGCACTTTGGGAAGTGAAGGTGGGGGGATCACTTGAGATCAGGAGTTTGAGACCAGCCTGACCAACATGGAGAAACCCCATCTCTACTAAAAATACAAAAATTAGCTGGGCATGGCAGTGCGTGCCTCTAATCCCAGCTGCTCAGCCAATCACTTGAACCCAGGAGGTGGTGGATGCAGTGAGCCAAGATCGTGCCACTGCACTCCAGCCTGGGTGGCAGAGGAATACTGTCTCAAAAAAAGAAAAAAAAAATCGGTTTCTTCAGAGTCTTTGAAAGAAAATATCTTCTTCTATGTGTGCCATGATGTAATGGACTTACAAAGTTCTGGTTTATTGAATAAACAGCCATATAAATAACATCTCCTTATCTTCTAAATATCTGCTAGTGAAGACCCCAGTCATTATTCAATGTTCCTTAAAATCTGAGTTGAAAAAAATCTAAGAGTTCAGCACTGACAAGAACTTTTCTATTAAACTTGTATTCTGCTAGATCATGAATATGAATCAACTCTTGTGTTTTTTTGTAATATGATTTCTAGGAAGCGCAATACTAAATTTTGTGCTCAACTGCATTAAGCTATTACATTTATAGTAATTATCTGCATTTCATCATTGCACTCCATTCTTTTAAGACTTCATTCAATAGTTTTGTTGTATCCGTATCTTCGAATGTAACTTTTGACCTTTTAGAAGTTAAAAGGTCCGAGTTAAAAATGATAAATGAAAATTTCAGAAAAAGACATCTATATAATTATGAATTGCCTAGTATTACTACTCAACACATTTCTGTAAGAATGGGAAGCTAACAATTTAAAAAAAATTCTCCCTAAGAAGAGCATAATTTACCAGCTTAATCTTGTGAACTGTGACTAAAAAATACACATACCCTCTAACTTATTAGTCACTGCATAAATTTCTATATGGATTTCTGATTTGAATACTTTCTAAGATGAGTCATGAAATTGCCACTGTTGTAGATTAAAAATGGCTGAATACTGGCAATCTTATGAAGTTCCACCTGCACAGAAAGAAAGGATTTATTTGCCTGGAGGATATGAATGTATTAACAAACAGTTCAGTCTTACCTGAATGATCTCAGCATCCGATAGGACTTTCCTAAATCAGATACTCGTCTACAGAATGGACCCACAGCCAACTCCATCTGAAATATTAAAAGAATTCCATTGATTTTAATGTCAGAATCTTTAGGGGAATCTGGAACAGACCTGGATCACAGGAAGTTGTAGCTGCAGTAAACTTAATTTTATCTGGACTATGAGGCAAGCTTTGAAATGTATTAAAAGGCAAGCACTTACATAACTTTTGCATTTATTCATCATTGAAAAATAAGAAAAAGGAAGGTTTTCAAGACTGCATGAGTATACTTTAGGCATTATAAGTCTTTTTATATTCAATATAAATGATGACAACTTTTATCAGTTAGTGTGGTTCAAGTAATTACAAGCACTAACTCTGGAGCTTTTAGTAGCACATCTATATCCGCATTCCAAATGCTGATACTAGTTACTAGTTTGTGACCCTTGATAAGTTACCTCACCTCTTTAAGTCTCAGGTCTCTCATCTATAAAATGGAGAAAATGATACCTACTTAAAAGAATCACCCAAATTAAATAGATAATTCCACAAAGCTTTATGTGCATACATATAAGTGCTGTTGTCAGGAATTATTATCAGTGTTTAAAAGTTTTTTCTCTTTTCAATTATTAATAAATTAATATGCTACCTAACTCAATAATTTAGCAAATCTTTGTTTCACTTCTCTTTATTTTCCTCCTGTGACTGGAAATTCTACTTGTCACAAGTAGGCTACCTGTTCTTTATCTACCAAGTGCATATGCAGACTTGTTGCATATGTGCTATCCAGGTGATAGACTGCTTCTCCACTCTTCCTATAAATAGCACCCTGGTAAAAAATGGTTTAGAAAATGGTTAAGAACAGGCTGCTCCCTGGTAGTATAGCACCATTCTTCAAGAAGCACATATGAAGTAAGGTTTCTGTCCTGCTGGCCACCCTTACAAAAATTGCTTAATATCTCCTTGCCATGGGTACACTACAGAGACCCAATCAGTCATTCATCTGAGAAACATTCTGATTGCCTTAGTGCTAGGTACCAAGCTAACATGAGGATAAGATAATTAAATGATTAGACTGTCTTGCCTTCACTAAATTTGCAAATTTAATGAAGAAGGGGATATTTATTTATTCAAACAATATGATTATCAACAAAATCAAAGTATTTGTGTATATGTCCACATATATACATGTATAAACACATATACATACACACATAATGATTCTTATTAAGCAAAATGTTAAGTGCTATGTCAAACTTATGACCTGAGTGTCAAGACAGTTGGAGATACCTTCCTTGGGATGGTCTTGAGGATGAAGAGTAACCATGTTAATTTTGTTATATAAAAGAAGAAAGTTTAGATCATTTATTCACTGAAAAATAATAAAAAGGAAGGTTTTCAAGACTGCATGGATTGCATACTGTATGTCCTAGAAGTAAGCCTTACATGGCTGGAAAACTATAAGATGCAGAATCATAAATAAATAAAAAGATAAAAATTTAAGCAAGAAAAAGGATTCTTGCCAACAATGCAAAACAGAAGAGCTGTGAGCCACTGTTCCTAACTCAAAGATAGTAGATGATAGGCTGTTATTTGGAACGTGTTTCATTTATTCACTGGGTGGGAATTTCTGGTTTCTTTCAGTATGTGTCACTTTACACTGAGCACAATGAAAAAACGTGATTATCATTGTATCTTTGATTTGATAATTCCATTCAAATACCTAAATATATATATATACATATATGTGTGTGTGTGTGTGTGTGTGTGTGTGTGTATATATATATATATACACACACACACACATATACATATATGGTTTTTTTTACATAATGAAATGTGATGTATTTTTTATGAAATGTTTTTGTTAATTTTTTCTCAATGACTCTAGTGGAATCACTGTCTTCAAAGACAATCTTTGCCTTGGCACTTGAACAGGACCAAATGTTAAAACAAATACATGGCTAGGAAAAGTTAAGATATGAGAAAATATGACCTCGAATGGCTGTAAAATGTATGATTATGTAAAAGATTTCTATGCCATAGGCCAATTTCAAAATGTTAAATGTTTAAAACAATTTTTTTTATACATAAAGGACCTCTAGGGTATTGCAAATCATTTTCTTCTTCCAGAATACCATTAATCAATAAAGGCCATGTTTCAAAGGACAGGAGTGTTCCTTTTAGAGGAGGTGACTCTGCCATTAGCAGTGGCTACAAAAATGGCATGTGCAACTGCTTCTCTCCAGCCCGTGTGGAGAGAATGAGCAGTCAGCTGCAGGCATGGTGAGCTAATTACATAGCTGCTCCATCCCTACCACCGACATTTGGTTAACCACAGGGCTTCTTTGTATACTCCTAGGGCACTCCTGCCTGACATTGTTCAGGAGAAGAAAAGGCAATAGGAATTAGAACAAAAATTAGAATTTTGATTGTCTTCTTCTCTTTTCTAAATTAATATTTTCAGGTACAAAGTGAAATAGATATAAATGTATACTTAAAGGGCACCAGAAGACCTATAACTAGAAACTGCTAGAAGTGCCACTAAATAATTTAATACCACCTTCAACAGCCACTCTTTCCTTCAGGTAAGAAAATAAACTGAGGGGTGGAGGGGGGATTATGTGTTTCAGAGGACACTGTGGGCAAGACCCCAAAGAGATTCAGAATCAGCAGAACCCCAGTGCTGTGGAAAGGCTTAGTGATTTCAGAAATATTGTGTGATCAGTGTAGACACTGAGACCATGTGGTCACAGCAGGGACTTAATTACATGTAGGAAACCACCTCATGCCCATGACCTGGATTCCTAAGGGGGCTGAATGTCAGGCACTTCTCACCACGATCCCTCCAGATGGCACCCTACAACTACTTTCTCTTTCCTGCACTGGTGTCCGTGAGAAGAAGTTAGGATTCTTAAAGAAATCCTTAAATATATCATTATCTGTCTTTGCAACTGCATTTTATGGCAAATAACTAGTATTCCCAAACCTGGTCTATTGGTCCCTTCTTGAGCTTTCTTTTTGTTATTTATGCTAGAATAGCAGGCCCTTTATCACAAGAACAGTTTTCAAACCCACGGATTATTTGTATATTTTTGATTTCAGTGACCTCAATGGCTTTAATTTTGAATATAAATTGATAGAACTTTCAATAATAAGGCAGTTGAAAAGCCCTCTAGTCCCCAGTTGGTGCCTGTCATGAATATAAATGTTAGGGTAATGCTATTTAAATGTTTTGACTGACCCCAAAAAACACCTTCAACCAAGTGTGATGCTGAAAGCTGAGGTATAACACGTAAGTGCAGTTGTGGCAAGAAACCAAACCAAATGAAACAAAACTCTGAAATTCAAATTTTAATTTAAAAATTGGGTGGGGGAGATCATAACAGTGGAACAATATCTGCCAAAGATACTGATCACAGATAAGATTAATTACGATAGTGCTTCCACCTGTCTTTTCTGTGCCCATGATCCACAGGACTGGAGCCATCCCCAAGGTGAGTGCCAGGATGTTTTGAAACTGGGACACAGTGTACAGGGGTGAACAAAAGAACCTGCTTTTCAATATCACAATGCTAGCTGCAACCAAATGTCACTGCAGGGCTTAACAATGAGTAAATGCTGTGTGTATAAATGCTTCTTCTATATTTAAAAAAACAGAGAACAGAGGCTTTTGAGCATAAGTTAGTAATAATGACTGATGGGTTTCATTTACCTTAAAGGAAGGGACCCAGAAAAGTTTGGCTTATTGGGTAACATGTCTAAAAAAAAAAATGGATGCCAAATAACATTTTGAATAATGCAGTTTTTGGGAGGTTGAAGCGCATCCCTGCCACTGGATGCTATGCATTTTGAGCAGGTGTTAGCTACAGTAGCAAGGGTTAAAGGACAATACTTTCCATCTTTCAAGACCCATAAGGGAACATATTAAAATAAAAAACAAAAACAAGCCTCTCTCCTACAGCACTCTCATTTTGGCTATCTCCTGCTCCGCTGCCACTCTAATTGGACTTGAAGTGCTGCCTCCAGGAAAGTGACTCAAGAACCAGCTGGAGCAGAATGCAAATAAGCTGGTAGGGGAGGGAGCCCAGAGAAAGAAGATGAAACAAAAAGAAAAACAAAATTAAGGAGGAAAGGGGAAGAGGAGAACAGAGACCATCTGAGCGTAGTTTACAATTTTTTTTTAAAAGAATACAAGGTTTAATTTCGATTTTTAAAACCATCATCAGGTTTTCAACAAGCAATCTAAAACCCCAGTAAGGGACAAATAAGATGCTATTTACAGATAATTTTCTTTAGGCTGAGTTTAGTTGTAAAACAAAGTAAAATGTACAGGTGCCTAAGAATGAAGTTCATAAAATGTAAAAGGTAAAAAGAGTCATATTCATGGTAACATTTAATTTCTGTTTTTATGTTGTGGCTACTACAAGCATATTTTCTAAATGAAGTCTCTTTTCTATGGTCTAATGGCCTCAGGAATATTATTTGGAGAAGAAAATGACTAACTGCTGCATCAGTTTGCAACGAAACTGGCTCTTGAAAGTTTAGGTTTGTGTTACCTGTTCCTTTTTTGAAAGTGTGTTAAGTAAGAAGGGCATCTGGCAACCACTGACTTGATACAAGCAGTCTGCCCAGGTCCTTTCCTCCATGCAGAAATAATGAAGCAAGACACACTCCCGGATACACACAGAATAAATATTGACATTAACGTTTATCTTTATAAGCAGGGAGGACCTGGCAAACTGCTGTGAAGAATTTATTTCAATTACTATTTAGACTAGTAAAGCTAACAGCTTTGAAAAGCTTAAAAATGATTTTTACCAGCTGGGTGCAGCAGCTCACAGCTGTAACCCTAGCACTTTGGGAGGCTGAGGTGGGTGGATCACGAGGTCAGGAGTTCGAGACCAACCTGGCCAGTATGGTGAAACCCTGTCTCTACTAAAAATACAAAAATTAGCTAGGCCTGGTGGTCCATGCCTGTAGTCCCAGCTACTTGGGAGACTGAGGCAGAATAATCACTTGAACCTGGGAGGTGGAAGTTGCAGACAGAACCTGGGCAACAGAGCAAGACTCTGTCTCAAAAAAAAAAATAAATAAATAAAAATAAAAATAAAAAAAATTTTTATCCTTGGCATGCTATACAAAAAATAACAATCGCCTTTGTTTCTGAATTTTTTAATAAAAGCATGTTTGAAGTTTTTCTTCACTGCCTCTGATACTACTGAAAGGCTTTTAAAAATCTGTCTAAAGGATAAAGAAAAAAAAACCCTTTCTATAAGACCTAATAATGTTTTGCTATTTTAATGTCATTCTATCTCACACACATATTAGATAGGTTGAAATGCTTTCTAGGCTAGCCACAGAGAAGAACTATATTCTACCTTATAGAGGGAGAATAATCAGACGCTATGTCTACTGGCCTACTGTGCATTTAAATGAATGGGAGCACTGCCTAGGAATGGTGACATGGTAACAAGCAGTCTCTTTTCACTGTATGAAATATGATTTCACTGCCTACATTATTGGCCAGCAAAGTCTGACCTGTTGGAACAGTAAAATAGTGAGAAAATCCCATATTAAGGAAAAACGGGAAGTGTTGCTTTCCTATGAAATGAGCTGTTTCACCATAACCCTGACATACCAAAGAGAGGGATGATTATTTTGTTAAAAATGTATCTGGTATAAAAGTATCTTTAAACTCTTTTTTTTTTTTTTTTAACCATTTAGGCTTAAGTGGGCTTACTTTTCTTCATGCTGCAACTCTTTAAAAGCACTGATGAAAACACAGTCTTTCACTTAATAGCAAATATTGAGGCCAAAACATTTTTTCTTTTGTAGCAATCTATCAATTTACCTGTGCAAAATCAGCAGCAAGTCGCATTTTCCCACCTTCACCAAGAGGTCTTATGAGACTGGCATGGCGGATAAAAAGTTCAATTGCTCTTTGGGCAATAGCCTCAGTGTTGTCAAAGACAAAATCCAAGCATTCAAAGTGTTTAAAATAGTCACTCATAACTCTGGCAATGAATCCTTGTAGCTCCTTCATGTACAGAGAACAAGGAACATCAGGTCTTCCTGAGCTGGGTAATGACCTGTAAAAGAAAAAGTAGCCCTTTTCAGCACCGATGCACTAAATTGTACTCTTTGAATTTGTACTTCTCTTCCTACCAATGCTGCTATTTTAATCTTTTGTAATGTTTTCCCTTAATGGTATAAAAGGCATTATTTATTTTTTATAAGTGTCAACAGAAAATAATGTTTAAATTACATTTTAAAAAGTGGTTTAGATGCTAGGAGAATTACTGAAGGAATTTTAGAATTCATTTATCTAAAGATTATTAAGAAAGAAATAGACAACCATCTGTCTTGGATGAATCATATAAGTGCCACTCTTTGGCCTCTCAAGGTCCCTCCCAGCCTCTTAACTCTCCATCCACTCATGTTTTGCCTGGTAAACGAATGTATCAATAATGAATCCCAAAACAGCATTTTACACTCTGCAATGGCAGAAAACGCGGCTTTCCCTATACAATTCTTGGCAAAGACCTCTCTGCTCTTATGCTATTTAATCTGATCCATCCAACAGAATTCTGACTGTGGAAATGGTTATGTAACAGTACACATGGTATGCAATTTTTTCCTCCAGATGATGAGGTTTGGAAAGGCTTTAATTTGGATCAACAAATGATACCAGCTGATGCTCCATGAAATACTATTTATAACTGTTTATAATTGCTCTTTAAGGAATATACTAAAAGAATATGAAATACTTACAGGAAAGAGATATACCAAAACTAATACCTGATATTTTCTAATAAATGAGATCATTGGCTACATCATGCTGAATCTTTTTCAAAAAGCAAGTTAAGTGGTTCCATATTCTGAGAATGACGTAGAGAAATTGGTGATGGTCTACAGAAGAACAACAGATATGACTAAAATGCTCAGAGCAAAAGAATGAGTTGAACTTAATTGTCTTCAAATACAGCAGTGGTTACTATAAATAGGATGCTAACTAGAGGTCCATGGCTTCCAGAAGTATATAGAGATAGAGAAAGTAAGCCTGTGTTCCAGCAGGAAGGGATTTCATAAAGGTATAAGACTGTGCCAGCAACAGCAAGGCTTCTAAAGGGTGCATGGAGGAACGTTTTTGTTTGCAGTATCATCACATGGTGGAGTGCTGCTTGGGTACAGGGGAGCCTTAGTAAATGATGGCTATCTTCATGTGGGGTTTGGTTTTGCCAGATTCACACACCTGCATAGCCTAGCTTTACTCTAGGTTTGCCACTACACAAGGCTAGGGAGCAAAAAACAAATAAAAGAAGGCCCCCTTCCCGAAAATGGTGCCAATCTCTTTCATATATTTTTCATTTTTATTTTTGATGAATTATAATCATATACAATTATGGGATACACAGTAATTTCATACATATACCTATGAAATGACTGAATCAATGAAATTAGCATACTCATCACCTTAAATACTTATCATTTACTTCATCCAACTGCAACTTTGTACCCTTTGACCAACATCTCTCTATTCCCTCCACCCTCTAGCTGCTGCTAACTGTCATTCTACTCTGTTTCTACGCGTTTGATTGTTTTAGACAACAGATATAAGTGAGGTCATGTGGTATTTGTTGTTCTGTGTCTGGCTTCCTTCACTTAGCATAATCTTCTCTAGTTCATCTATGTTGTTGCAATTAACAGAATTCCTGTCTTTCTGAAGGCTGGATGGTATTCCACTGTGTATGTATACCATATTTTCTTTATCCATTTATCAATCTAAATGCTGGTGGCCATTTAGATTGATTCCATAACTTGGCTATTCTAAGTAATACTGCAATGAACATGGAAGTGCATGTATCTTTCTGACATACTGATTTCAAGTTCTTAGGTTATATACCCAGAAGTGGGACTGCAGGATCATGTGGTAGCTCTATTTTCAGTTTTCCATCATGGCTAATTTGCATTCCAACCACAGTATACAAGGGTTCTCTTTTCTGTATATCATCTTCCACACTTGTTATCTTTCATCTTTTTGATAAGTCATTCTGATAGGTGTGAGGTGAAATCTCATTGTGGTTTTAATTTGCATTCCCCTGACGATTAGGGATATTGAACATTTTTTCATGTACCTGTTGGCCATTTGCATTTGTATGTCTTTTTTTAAGAAATGTCTACTCAGGTCTTTGCCTACATTTAAATCAGGTTGTTTTGTTACTGAGTTGCGTTCCTTACATACTGTGGATGTTAATCCCCATATCAGATGTATGCCTTGTAAATATTTTCCATAATCCATAGGTTGTCACTTCACCCTTGTTTTGTTTGCTGTTTAGAAGCTTTTTAGATAAATGTAATCATATTTGTGTATTTTTGTTTTGGAGTCTGAGCTCCTGGGGTCGAATCCAAAAAAATTATTCCTCAGATTTTCCCCTTTTCTTCAGTTAGTTTTAGTTTCAGGTGTAAAGTTTTTCATCTATTTTCATTTTATTTTCATATATGGTATGAGATAAGGGTCCAATTTCATTCTTCTGCATGTGGATATACAGTTTTACTAACACGTATTTATTGAAGGAACTGTCCTTATTCCATTGTGTGTTCCTGGCACCTCTGTCAAAAATCAATTGACTGTAAATGTGTGAGCTCATTTCTGGGCTCCCTGCTCTGTTTCATTGGTCAGTGTTTCTATTTATATGCCAGTGCACCATGCCACTTTAATCATCATGTAGCTCTGTAATATAGTTTCAAATTAGGTAGTGTGATGCCTCTAGCTTTATTTTTGCTCAAGATTGCCTTGGCTATTCAGAGGTTTTGGTAGTTCCATATGAATTTTAAGATTATATTTTCTATTTCTGTGAAAAATGACACTGGAATTTTGGTAGAGACTGCATTAAATCTGCAGGCTGGTTTGGGTGGTATGGACCTTTTAATGATATTCTTTGAATTCATGAACACAGAATATCTTTCCATTTATTTGTGTCTTTGTTGATTTCTTTCATTAATATTTTATAGTTTTCAGCGTATAGATCTTTTACTTCCTTGTTTAAACAAAATGTATTTTGACTCCATTTTCTTCATTTGTCCCAAGGTATTTTTTATTTCTCCTTGATCCATTGGTTGTTCAGGAGTATGTTGTTTAAGTTCCACAAATTTGTGAAATTTCCAAGATTTCTCATATTACTGATGTATAGTTTCACACCATTTTGATTAGAAAAGATACTTGATATGATTTCAGTTCACTTTCATTTGTTCGGACTTGGTTTGTGGCCTAACATATATAACATGGAAGATTTAAATATACGCAAAACTGAGAAGTGAATGTTAATCTTCATGCCACTAATCTTTTGTGTGTTTAGTCTCCGCAAAGGGGCTCATCTATCACTTCAGTGATCTAGGTTCTTCCTTCACTGCCTGTCCTCCCTATTCAAAACTATAATCAGGTATGAGTCAACTTTACATTGACTGAAGCAAGTTTTGTGTATACTTGAGAAGACATATGGTCACTTGCTGTTGGATGCAATATTCTGTATGTATCTGTTAGGTTCATTTAGTTTAAAAAGTAGTTCAGGTCCAGTGTTTCCTTATTAATTTTCTGTCTAGATGATCTGCCATTGTTGAAAATGAGGTATTAAAGTTCCTTCTATTATTGAATTACAATTAATTTCTCTCTTTAGATGCTTTGATACTTGCTTTACATATTTAGGTGCTCTGATGTTAGGTACATATGTATTTACATTTGTTTTATCTTCTTAATAAAGTCACTCCATTATCATTATTCAATGACCTTCTTTATCTCATTTTATAGTTCTTAAAGTCTTTCTTGTCTCATAAAAAAGTTTATCCCTGTCCTCTTTTGGATTCTATTTGCATGGAATATCTTTTTCTATCCCTTCACTTTCAGTTTGTGTTTCCGTGAAGATGAAGTGAGTCTCTGGTAGGCAGCGTATAGTTGGTCCTTCATGATTTCTTATGCGTGATCAAAAGCACAGTGTTAACTCGGTGCTACTTTGGAGTACTGTGTCAAGAATTTTAATCTACTCAGTTGAAACAATATCCTTGAGGAGTAAAAAATAACATTAAAAAACAAGTTGCATAAGCATGTGTCAACATAATTAAAAGAAAGTAAGTGATGTATTAGACAAAGTTTTGATATATACATATATATTATCAAATATCATTGTGGACTGGAAGCTTGAATTTAATTTATCAGAATACAAACTTGCTTGCCTACTGCTACAGCTCAGTTTTCCCAATTAAACCAAAGCCTTTAGTGGGAGATTTTAAACTGATAAAGTGCAAGAATGAGTTATGAAGAAATTTAAGTGTCGTTATAACATAATGGTAGTGAATATGCAGAAGCTGAAGGCAGAAGAATGAAAAATACGCAAAACTGAGAAGTGAATGTTAATCTTCATGCTGCTAATCTTTTGTGTGTGTACTTTCCCCTCCACAAAGTGGCTCATCTATTACTTCAATGATCTAAGAGTTCTTCTTTCACTGCCTTCCCTTCCCTACTCAAAACTGTAATCAGATATGAGTCACTTTACATTGAGTGCAACAATTTTAATCAATGTTCTATGTCAAGCAGACATTTACATTTTAAACTTTATCTAATTTGGAAAGAAGCACACCAGTCTTTTAAAATAAATATCAAATACCAAGAAGCCATGCTGATGATTACTCTTTACCTACTTACTTATTTATTTATTCATTCATTGAGACATGATCTTACTCTGTTGCCCAGGCTGGATGGAGTGCAGTGGTGTGATCTCAGCCCACTGCAAACTGCCTCCTGGGTTCAAGCGAATCTCCTGCCTCAGCCTCCTGTGTAGTCGGGATTACAGGTGCCTGCCACCACGTCCAGGTAATTTTTGTATTGTTAGTAGAGATGGGGTTTCACCATGTTGGCCAGGCTGGTCTTGAACTCCTGACCTCAAGTGATCCACCTGCCTTGGCCTCCTAAAGCGCTAAGATTACAGGCATGAGCCACCATGCCCAACCGATGATTACTTATTTGGCAGGAGATCCTGTAACCCTACTATATATAAGGTTCATCTTGAAGGTAAACTTGATTTATTCCTTTTACCTA